TCTCAAGCTCGAACGGGCCCTGCTGACGGATCTCCATATCCCGTGCGTACACCGCGCATGCGTCGTGAGAACTAGCGTCATTGACGATTCGTTTCGTTTCGATACATGAAGTACATTGACATTCAGAACTTCGGGCGAGGAGCCGTTCGCGCGGTCTCGAGGTTCTACTGGGCCACACCCGGGATCGGAGCCTTCTTCTCGTCCGATACGACCGTCATCACCTCATCGACGTCCTCGAAAGGCGACTCTGGCATGTCGACTAGGTAGCTCTTGTGCGTACCGTCCTTGCCGGTGCGCACCATGTTGAACGTGTAGGTGACCTTCTTCATAGACCCGACAATCTTCATCGTGCCCGTCGGGTTCTTGAGGCAGGTGTTAGCATACAGTCCCTAGAATCTCGTGAGGTCAGCGTGTACGTCGCGTTAGGAACGTGACCGCAGCGCGTGCGTACCCAGTAGTTGTGGCCGTTCCATCTACCGCGAGATGACGGTCAGCGCAAGTTTCTATCGATCCACGAATAGGTGGAGACCGGTCCACGACTTACTTGTTCCCGTTAGCTACGATCGCAGATAGGGCGCGCGTGAGCATGTGAGTCTGTCATAGATGGATGGGAGCACTGACTGGCGATGAGGTTATGCTCGGGGTCGAGGCCATAATCCTGATAGCCAGTCCGGGTTAACCTGCGAGATCTCCGTACCATGAAAGACTGGTATTTACCTGAAGATAGACCTGAGAGCCGATGCGAGTGCTCTGAGTGCGCACCAGTTTAAATTTCTCGCCCGGCTCGACCCTGGGTGCCGGTGTCAGGAGCCGAAAGTACGATAGTAGGTTACATAGCTAGCTTACTTGATCTTCCAAGTTTGCTCGAGTTCGTGCGTCTTCTCCTGCGTCTCAGTCTTGTCCGACTCGGTAGAGAGCGAGATGCCGAACTCGGTGCTGCAGATGCCTTCGATTGTGATTGACTGTTTCAGACTAATAGAGGCTGGGTAGGGTCAAGGCAGCGATGGGTGCACGCGTTGAATGATGGATGTGCGTCAGATGTCGTGTGAGGCGCATCATGGAGAATCTCACCAGAGTCCTTGATCGTCAGAGAGGCAGACCGCGTCTCCGTCCACTTCTCGGTCCAAGTGTCCTCGTAGGCCTCGCTGTTCTTCGTGTTGTCGTATGACCACACAACCGTGTCATCGTCGGGGAGATCCTTAAACACCGGCTGCTCCGCACGCGGGTCCCCCCTGAGAGTGTTGTAGCAGTACCAGCTGTTGAGATTTGAGTGAGTAGGGTACTTAACTGCAGTTGATGGGTATAACATGTCCGAGGATGAGCTTACCCCCAACCATTGGCAAACCCTTCGTTCAAGGCCATGTCGCTGTACTCCCGCATAGTTCCCTCGCGATCCTTGTTGAGAGCGTTGAAGATGTCGTGTTTGTACCAGCCGAGGTTGGACAGGTCGTCCCAGGTAGTCTTCGGGCCAGTGGGCATGATAGAAGTGCTTTGGCGATGTCGCAAGACGGGGGGTGGAGAGAGGAAAGTTAGAGAGCTGCTGAAGGCTTCGGTGTTGGGTCAGAAGGTCTCGCTCGTACAGACCTTTTATACACAAGTCACGCAATATAGCGCTGCGAACCCCACTATGATGTATGGCTGCCGGAACCCGGTCGGCGTAGCCTTGGGCGGGGCGGGGCGTTGACAGAAGGAATGGAAAGTGTGATGTGAGTGGCGACGACCTATAGCGACCTATGCGTGTATGGATCCTTCACATAGCGGGAAGGATTCGTCGTCTCGGGATGTTGTCACTGTATTCTGACTCATCAGTAGCCGCTTCGGTCACACCAGCGAAAGCATCATTCCTCACCCTGGTTGTGTCAACAGCGTCACTGAAGCATTATGCAGGGAATTCAGGCTCCACAATACTGGTCGGGTGCTGTGAGGTGCTGTGGATGCTGGATCCACAGCGGCACGCAGGAAGCTGGTCGGCTGATCAAGTAGGAGATGGTCTTGATGGATACTATTAGAATTCGCAAGTGTGCAAACGAGCAGGCAAGCAGAGAAACGCTCACAAGGCTGTGACTATTCATCGACATTGTGATTTGCTTGCAGGAATTGGTAGTCTCCCGCCGTATAGTCCCACAACTTCGACTCCACCGTACACGCCACAAGACGTTAACTAGACGACAAATCTCACACGAACGCACTTCTGGTGACATCAGTCCATGACATAGCCGCATCGCGCGCAAGTCTGGGAAGCAGCCGCTCCGGGAGTGTATAGGTCCGGAGGTCTTCAATTGCTAGCCGCACCACCTACGTAGACCAATGCATCAGATTTTCAGACGTGATGAATGGATAGGTGAGCTAATCACCGTTAATTGACATGTTCGCCCTCGAGATCCCATGGCATGGAAGCGATGGTGAAATCACAACGCCGGTGAATGTGAATCCCCGAAACTGGGGATGCCCAACACTGCCAGAACGCTAAGGTTAACCACCGTGACGCTGACAAACAAGGCGCGCGAGCTTGGAAAGAACGGCCCGGTCACAGCGGGAGACAAGACTGCACGTGCTCTTGCCCCTCCATACAGCGGCATGGGTCCAGGCTCCACCATCTTCGTATGTTGAGCAATTGGGTCGATGGGTCGTGAAACCCGTATATACGAATGTCGTGCACCTTGATGAGACAAGTGACAGGCCGGCCAAAGACATGGAAGAAGACAAAAGACGTGCTGTACTGTACTCAGTGCCGAGGGCAACAGCTCCAGTTTTGTTGAGTTGGCAATGACGCGTAAGCGCGAGATGGTCCGTGTCCCTCGATCGCTACTGAAATCCGAGAGGAGCCTAGCTCGTTGGGTTCTATATGATATAGGAAGGGAACATCTATGATTATCGCATCGTCGTCAGCTACATCTACCCAACTCACTAGTCAGAGAGGTCCATGTCATGATCGCCGCTGACCTCGACAGCGTCAAAGACCTCTATAGGTCTGTCAGACGGCGCAGTCGAGAAATTCGTGTAGAGTAACGGAGGGGATCCAGAGCGCTCAAAAGGCATCGCTGGAGGGGCGCAGATTGAAGGAGGAGGCGGGGGTGTAGATGGCGAAGGCGGAGGCAGAGGCGGAGGCGTGCTAGGCGGGGGTGGCGGAGGAGGTGTCGAAGATGGAGGCGGAGGGTTACATGCCCAAGTTGCCAGATGAGGCTCGTGCACAGATAACGCAGGTTGTCTCCAAGGTGGGACGGAATCCACACGCGAGGCCGGCGCGTCCACGGACGAGGTGATTTTCTGCCACAACGTCTGGCGGTCGATGGTGTATGTAGAGCTCACAAGAGGGTGACGACGCTCGTCGGAGCCCAAAGGAGGCAAGGTGAACCCAGTGTACACGGGCAACTTCGAGTACAGGAAGTGAGTGTCGGGGTATCTGGCCCAGCGTTTGAGAACTGGAGCTGCGAGCGAGGTGTCACCACATTCCTCTCCGTCCTCATCGTTTTCGACATAGTCGTCGTCCGAGTCGTGCATCTGCACGCCCGAGAAGCCGGTGAGAACGCAGCGTTCGGGATCTCCGTCGTCATAGATTGCAAACTCGACCTCCTCCGCATCATCCTCCCCCGCACGCGCGATGCGCTCCCGGACACGCTCGCGCGGATCGTACGCCCCAACCCAGCCCGGAGGATAACCCCAACACGCTATGTTGCGTAGCCAGGGAGCATCCTCGCCCACATCGCCGTCCTCGAGACCAAGTGCGTCGCGTAAGACGGGCCCTCTGATCTCCCCTGGAGCGAATGCGCCTATCCACTTGAGGCGCTTTGCCCGCCATTCTTCGACCTCGTAAAGACGATGGAACGGGCCCGAGGACTCCCCGTGGTAGAATTGGAAGAGCTGGCGAGAGAGCGCGACTAGCGCACGGTCGAACGGCTCCGGGCAGTCGGACACGGCGTGTTCGGTCGAGCCGCAGTTGAAGCACCGGCGGACGGCCGCTGCACGCTCCCCTCCTCCGCACATATCCTCCGGGTCTTCTCCCAGCACATCCTCGTGTGCGCGGTGGTACAAGGGGGGCGAATGTGGGATAGAATAGTGTGACGTGCCTGGCATTAGGTACCCTAATCCGACTTCGACGGCTCTTGCTGGGTCCATGGTGTTGCCTCCCACGCGTCCAACGCCTCGTTGACCGTCTGCGCGTCCCAGCGGCCCTTCGCTACCTCCCGTCCCTCGACGTGGAGAGCCGGGATCCAGTAGACATACTTGCGCTTCCAGCGCTCCTGGCCCTTGTCCTGGATATTGACCGTCTCGAGCTCGAACGGGCGCTGCTGACGGACCTTCGCCAGCTCCGCCTTCGCCGTCTGTACAGCGCAGCAGCAGGTGAGTTGCGGATGTATATACGGGAGGTAGATTGGAGGATTGGAACACGCACATCGCAGAGAGAACAATGCGGCCCGGAAAAGAGAGTAAGTCGGGCGATGCGAGTAGCTCCACGCGCTGCCATTCGTGTGAATGCGGGGACAGCACACCGTTGTCTGCAGTGTAGCTTGTCATTAAGAGGAATGACTGAACTATGCGAGAGCTGCACCTACATGAGACGAGCTTGCCTGTGGCCGTGGCTGGACAAAACAGAGTTGAACGCGTTGTATTGACTTCCTACTACAGAGACGAGAGCAGACATGCAAGCGATATACACGCCGTACGGAGCACTAGTTACAAGGCGCTATAGCCAAGTGGTTACGGCGACAGATTAGAAATCTGTTCTCCTTTGGAGGCGCAGGTTCGAATCCTGCTGGCGTCGGTGTTACTTTTGCAATCCTTCTTAAGCCATTGAGAACATGGCGTTAGATTGAAATCCCCACATATTTTTCGACTGATTTCTGACAAGCAGAGATACGTGCACGTACAGCCAACATATGCACCCTCAGTTTAAGACGGAAATTTAAGTAGATGACATTCATACATAACATCTGCACAATCAGAATACTACCTACATCCACGAACGGATGTCGCAAAAAGCCTGCTAGCAGAGTGCAAAAGGGCCTGGCCGGGAATTGAACCCGGGACCTCCTCCAAATTCTTCAACTTCAAGTTGCCCTAAGAAGGAATCATACTACTAGACCACCAGGCCGTTGAGAGAATGCTCCGTCGTAGTGCTCGGGTCGTGAGCAATCGAGACGTATGGGGGATCCACACGACGGCGACGAATGGCCTGCACAGCGAGCACTAGAGTTTCTCCAGGAGACCGCGCAGCATCTTCTGGTTGGCCGAGGTGGTAGACTCCTTGTCTAGTGCCTTGCTCTTCTTCTCTAGGACGGCGATCGTTTGCTCTACGTCAACGGAGAGAGCTTCGAGAGCGCTTGAGGCGCGCGTCGCTTCCGCAGATAGCAGACAGTCAGCTTCGAGGTCACAGCAACAGCGACGGCGGAGGTCCAGGCGGCGGCGGGGAGGGCGGAAGGGGGAGATGATAGTTACCGCAGCGGTCGAGATCATCGTCTAGGGCGCGCCAGAGCTCCTGCCGCCGACCGTATGCGCGTTCGAGTTCCTCCAGAGTGTGTGCGATGTTGCGCTGTCCGAGAGTCGGATCGCGTTCGAGAAATGTGAGGGGATGGGTCAGGAGGAGGGAGAGCGCACCTGCGACTCGGCATGCGCGGTCTTGAGCTCGTCTTCGTCTCTGAGCGCGACGCGCTCCACCTTCTTGCACACTTCGTCGAAGGTGAGCAAGCCTGCGCCAAACTCGAGGTCCACTACATGCCACGCAACCATGAGCGAGTCGAGAGAGCGCATATATTCGCAAACATACATACCTTTGTCCTCCAGTTCAGCATGGGTGGCTTTGATGTCATTGTATGCGGGTAGGAGGGTGTCCTTCAGGTACTGCTTGAGACTGGCACCCTGCGCCGCCATGGGACCCTTGAGGCCTTCTACGAGTGAGAGCAACTCCTCCTCCTCGTCGGCTTCCGACGCGCTACCGATGTGTATCAGCACCCCGATACATGCGCATATATGCGCCCAAACGTCACCCACCTATCCTGGAACATGGCCACCAAGGTCGATTCGTCGTCCCAGTCGCCCATGTCGACATCCTCGTCGAGCTCCTGTCTTCGCGAGGAGCCAGACCGTGCATGCTCGTGCGCCGAGGAGTCGGGCGGCCTGTAGGCCTCGCGGGATTCGTCGAACCCGCGCTCAAGCGCAAGCTCGTCCTCATCGGGCTCCTCGCGGATGGTCGAGAGCTCGCTGCGGGACGCCAGGAAGCGGTTCGTGTTGGTCGAGTGCAGCCGCGACCGGAGGCCGGGGCTTCGAGGCGCATTGTTGCGGGCAAGAAACGGAGCATGTGTGGCTGCGGACTGTCGCGTGAGGGCTTGACGTGCGAAAGGGGGCGGGCACTCACTGAAGCGGACTGCCTTGTGCGTCCTGGGTGCACGGGGCGACGCGCGATGGAGGAGGGGGGTCGAGTGCTTGGCCATGGGCGTCGAAGGCGGGGGTGGGGACGGTGGCGGGAGAAGAAGAGGTCCATCAATCAGAGCACGCATGTACGTGATGTAAGCGCCCGGGGAGGACTATCTTTTCTGGTCGTTCTTGAGCTCAAGCCGCCGCCCCCCTTTCCCTCGCCCGTTCAGAGGTCTTCCCCTCTCCGTCTCCCTTCCCTGTCTTCTTCTGCGAGTCCGGTTACTCCCCCGTTCTCGTCTCCAGAGCCGCCGCCGTCCTCGCACACCACTCTCAGGCCCTTCGCATTCTCCTTTGCTCAGACATCAACATGAGCAGCCGCGTGCCGAAGCAGTCCATGTCCGAGCTCAAGCTCCGCAGGCTCTCAGAACACAACCAAAGACTCAGGGAGGATCTCGCTCGGCCACGGATCCGGGTCAGCGAGGCAAGCAAGAGGTCAGCTTCCCGTGCCTCTCCTGCGCCCGCCGTTGCTGACATCTGCGGTTCGTCACAGCTTGATCAACTTCTGCAAGTCCACACCAGATCATCTCGTGAGTACCCATTCCGCATGCTCGAAAAGGGCCTCGCTTCGTCGGTGACAGGAAGAGCGGGAGCATGCTGCGAGACGGGTTTGGAACAGCTGGCAACGGCAACCGACCCTACGCGTGCTAGCTTCCAACTTCATGCCAATCGCTAAGCCACTCCATGCTTCGGCCGTCGACAGAAGCTATCGAAAGTACGCCATGTCGTTGGTATGGAAAGAGGCAGGTCACCGATGGTATATGAACGTCGAGTGCTGCGCATGCCACGGCCCTTCGCTACCTCGGCGCTTCTGGTTACACATCCTACCTGTTGCTGAGGAGCCTCTGAAGCTGGGTATTCCACTTGATGTTTTGAGAATTATCCGCCCCTGCTTCCCGGTCAGGGATACGGGTTCAGAGCACAGCCGTGCGCAGACATCCTCGACATCATCATCATCATCATTCCTTCCCCTATTCGTTGAATCATCTCACTCACCCCGAATCTGACCACAGATCCCATCGGTCTGGGGACCCGTCAACAAGGCAGACGATCCATTCGCTATGCCGAATCAGGGCTGCCAGTGCGTTGTCATGTAGGACAACCACTCGCCCTTCGGTCCGCCTTCCCACCTCCACGCCACTCAGCGGGCATTGCGGCGCAGAGGGCGGCGAGCTACGTGCGGGCTTGTGCGGACAGTCGGCGTGGAGTGAATGGGGTTCGCATCCACGCACGTATGTTCCGCTACGTTCTCCCGAAGTCCGCGCTCGTTCCTCTCTTCCTCCTCTCCCCCCTCCCCGGCACAGTCGAGCCACCAATCCTCTACACGTACAGTAAATGTTATTGCCCTATCTCAGCGTACACCCCGCCGCTCGTTCCATCGCATGCTCCTGCATTTTACTCCTAAACTCATCACACGCGATAAACCATTCGCAATCACCGAATCACAACCCGCCCAGAGTTCCCTATTCCCCCCATATGTCACATAGTATATACCTCGCACTCGCACAGCGGAGCCCAGTATCTCGTTCCTACTCTCTCGCCACTCCTCTCCAGGTATTGCACTCGACACCGTCGCGCACCTTCGATCTGATCTGAAGTAATGCAGTGTTCGCTGTTCGGAAAACCCGTCTCTCGTCTCATCTCGTCTCGACGCGACCGAAGACCCGCGTCTTGATTATGGATTCTCCGCTGCCGTGATATCTCTCGTCTTGCCTTACCGTACCTACCCCTTCCCCTTCTTGGTTCCGACGCCCGAACCTCGACCCGTGTCCTTTAGGTTATATCATTTACCGTAGCCGTAGCCGTACATAGGTGCACCCCTTGCACAGAATTGCATATCGAGCTGTCTTGCTTTCCTGAAAATAGTCGCAACTGCGTGTTCAAAACAACTATAAGCGGGCGATAGCACTCATACACAGCAAAGATCGCAGCAAAACACGACAAGACGACAGCGCAACATCTGCTACGAATTCCAACCTCCGACCATCCCCTCTGCTTCCAACATGTCCCTCCCTTCGTCCTCGCTCATCTCCCTCAGGACCACCGTCGGCGGCAGCAAACCCACCCCACGTCGCTGACCATCGCCAAACTCCCGGACTTGAGCTTGACGGTCTGGCAGCCCCGTCCGCGTCGATCGTGCCGCCCCGGGGCCGGGGCGCACCACCTCCCAGCACAACAGCCACGCAGGCCCGCCCTGGACACGCACCCGCACGGCGACGTACCGGAGGGACGGGACGGCGCTGGCGAGTGCCGCCGCGCGTGCGGGGGCGTCCGTGCAGAGCGTGCGGACGACCTTGCGCGTGTAGCCGCGGGATGCGCGGAAGTGGTACACCGAGTACGTGAGGAGGACGTGCGAGACTGCGAGCGGGGTGAGCGCGCGCTGCAGTTCGTCCTGCGGGGCCAGGGAGGGCGGTCAGCTCGATGTCGACATTGAGCAGAATTGCACGAGGAGAGGAGGAGGCACTCACGGCGAGGATGGACGCGACCTTGACGTAGTCCGGCAGCCCGTCGCCCTCCATGGTCAACACGAGCCGCTGGAGGGACGCGGTCGCCGACCGGGGCTGCAGCCCGCCGAACCGGCGCGGGAGCGGCTGGTACCTGTAGTGCACCTGCGTGACCCGGATCTCGAGACACGCCGGGCGCGCGTCGGCGAGGATCGTCGGGAGCATGTCTTCTGCAGGCTCCCCGGCAGAATATGCGACGGCCACGCGGGAGACCGAGAACGGGAGCGCGAGCGTGTAGAGCGCACACGCTGTCTCTGCTGCGACAGACATGAGCGCAGGCCACACCCGAGCTACGGTCGACAGCGCATCTTCCGAAGATTGGTGCGTGTAGAGGAAGGCGTCGTCCTGGGCTTGTGCTTGCGGTTGTGTTGGGCCCGCGAGTTGTGAAGCCTGGGCGCCGCCATTTGCGAGGGCATGCCACTGGTACTGCGAGTGTTCGCGCAGCCGGTCCTCGTCCTGCCTCGACGAATGCGTGTGGCAGAGGTGGAAGTGGCGTGTTCCGCGCAGCGCGAGATGTGTGAGCGCCGGGAAGGTGCGTACGAGCGAGCTCACAACGTCATCCGACGCCGGGAACTCAATGCCGAGCTTGCGAACGTGCGGGAACGTCACTCCTGTCGGCACCACCCATTGGCACACTGGGATATCCAGCTCTGTGAGCGTATCTGCTAGAGGACAAAGCGTGGTGAGAGCGTCTGGGATTTCGACCCACCTGCCTGGGCTCAGCACCAGCTTCTGAAGCGGAAGATTGGCAAGCTTGAAGTCACCACCCCAATGTGTTCGTAATGACATCGGCAGCCGCAGATCTTGCAGGTTGTGCAGAAAAGATATCGCATGCTTTAGCAAGGCAATCGGCGCGTCATCAAACCACCTCTCCACATGCAGGCGTCGGATGCTACGGCAATGGCGCAGAATGTGCAGAAAAGCTTCAAGGGCACTATTGCGGGATTCACGGAGGAGACGTTCCTCGACCAGCGGGTGGTTATCCGGGAAGGCGAATACTGCCGAGGGGTCAGTCTCTTGAACGTCGAAGTAGTTCGCTTTTGTGAGCGGGATACGGTATTCTTCAAGGCTAAAGCATATCTCCTTGATGGATGGCGCGCGAGAGCTTGATGGTTGGTCAAAGCGCAGGAAGAGAAGAAAGGACAGGATGTGCTCAGCCGTCTTGAGTGGTAGTCGTGTG